CTTTAAATTGGAGCATTGGGTCCATTTCCACTTAATGTAACTAGTAATATATTTGGATTTAAAACTATTATTTCATGCTGTTTGCCTCTCCAAACAGGCCTTCTGTTTAACTGACTTTTTAACTGAATAATTTCATGTTTTCCCCTTCTACTAGTATGGAAGTGGTATTATTTCTGTTCTTTCATTGGTTGTCTTACATTTTACAATGTAGACCTAACAAATTTAAAATGAATCAAAATCTTTGTTCTCCTCCTGCATAACATATGGTTTCTAGAACACTTTTTTATCTCCCAACTTTCATAAAATGGCAATGTGCTATATGTTCCATCTTGCTTTGTTTTTGAAAACCTCATTATTACTCTTTTATATGGTTAATTGCCTTTTGCATTTGCCCACCTATCTTATTGCTTCTGTACTTTTTTTTTTTTTTTGCCTCCCATTTGGTATCACATTCCTTCTGCCTAAAGTACATAATTTTTAGAGTTTCTTTTGGTGAGTTTCTGCTGATAGCAAACTTCCAGTTTTTTCTGAAATTTCTTTATTTCATCTTCATTCCTGAAAGAATTTTACTGGCTGTATAATTCTAGTTTGGCATACACTGGGGAAAAATAATTCTTCTGATATGAATGTTAAGTCGGGCTAGCTGTCATTGCTTTGAAGGTTCTGTCAGAGGAAAAACTCTGGATGATTTTATCTCAAAATTTTCTCTTTAGTAATTTTTTATCTAGTAATCTCTTTAGTAAAATTTATTTAGTAATCTCTTTAGTAAAATTTGCCTTTAGTAATCTAGTTTCATGATACTGTTTAGGTTTAGTTTTACTTCTGTTTTGGATTACTTGGGATTTTGAATTTGTGGAGCAATGTTCCTCATGAGTTTTACACAATTCTCAGCCGTTATAGATTCAGATGATCTCTACGATCCAGTCTCTGCTTCCCTGGGACACCAATCAAACATAAATTGGACTTCTGTGTATCCTCCCTGCAGCTCACCCTCTCTTCTGTATTTTCCTCTTTGCTTTATTATTATTTTTTTTTATTTTTATTTTTTTTTAAAGATTTTTATTGGGGAATTGGGGGGATGGGAACAGTGCTGGGGAATTGGGGGAAGGGGAACAGACAAGTTGCTGTCATTTTT